GAGCGCCGCATCTGATTGGACTATTTTTTATTATTCTTATTTTTTCTTTAACTGCGAACTAAGCGGGGAAATTCCCTTTTCACTCAGTATATGTATGCACTTGATAGAGTAATGTAACGTTTTCAGCTTGTGTGAGATATCCATATTAAAATCTTTATATTAATAATCCCTGCTGTGATTATTTAATTTGTAACCTGCACGTTGTAGCCCTGAGAGTTGCAACATAGTAAATCTGGCGTCCGCTACTTTATATTTTTGGATGAAATATGGATATAAAAGTTTTGAAAGCAAAACGAAAGTCGCTGAGAACAGCATTTACGGTATGCTGCAACGATATAGCTCAGAAGATCGAAAACAAAAGTTTAAAAAGTGACAAAATCAGTACGTTGTTTCAGCAGATTCAAGACAAATCCACACGTTTGGAAACAACTCAAGAAGAAGTTTCGAATTTGTTGCTTGAGTGATGATGCCCTTTCAAGATGAATATTCCGAAGATTTTTTGAAAGCAGAAGAATACCGTGACAAGTTCTGCTTGATCTGTTCGCTGTTAGAAAATGCAAAGAAGGGAAATTCGGTTACGGAAGGAACAACAACCGAGCAAAAAAGGAAATTCAAGCTTCCGAAACTTGAATTGAGGAAATTTAGTGGAGAACCGAAAGACTTTCTTGCTTTTTGGTCCCAGTTTGAAAAAATTCACAACGACCTCTCCATTGTCGATGAAGATAAATTTCAATATCTTTTACAATGTGTGGTAGCAGATTCTAAAGCGTCAAGACTCGTAACAAGTTTTCCGCCAACTAAAGAAAACTATTCAAAGGTGATCGCACAACTTAAAGAACGCTTCGGGAGAGATGAACTTTTGGTTCAGATTTATGTACGGGATCTACTTTCCATAGTAATGAAAAATGCTGCTGGTCGGATATTAAAGTAGATTTAGCTGAACTTTATGATTTACTTGAGAGCAAGCTTATGGCACTCGAAACCCTCGGTAGAACTAAGGAAAAATTTGCTAGAATTTTTAGAGCCACTTGTTGAGTCCTGTTTACCAGAGACTGTTCTTCGTGCGTGGGAAAGAAGCCGCTTCGATGGAAGATACTGCGTCACAGCAAGATAGTGCGCGTTCGTTGGATAAACTTTTGTGCTTTCTTCGAAATGAAGTGCAAAGTGAGGAAATGATTAAGCTCCGCTCGTACCGGGTTGGGAGCTTCACGTTCTGCACATTCGCGTCCACATTGTGATGATCCGGGTTGCTCTACAGCTGCTGCCTTGGTAAATGTTCAAGACAATACAGGTAGGCGAAATTTACGTTGTATTTTTTGTGAGAAATTCCACAATTCTGCCGAATGTTTTTCTGCTCGCAAAATGTCTTTAGAAGATAAACGAAAGCTTTTGGTGCAAAAGCGCGCCTGTTTTCGCTGCCTACGAGTTGGACATATTTCACGTGCATGCAAAACTAAAGTAAAATGTTTAACATGTGCTAAATTTCACTATACCATTATGTGCTCAAATGGCGAACCTGTAAAACCAAAGAAACTGACAATACTGTTATTTCAAGTAATGCATTGTCTAATAAGTCAACTGTTAATATAAATGTGTATTTGCAAACACTTGTTTTAAAAATAGTATTTTGAGGGTAGACAACTTACAGTTCGTACGATTTTGGACAGTGGTTCTCAGAAATCTTATCTTTCAGAAAGGGTTTATCGCGTTTTTGCAACTGCGTCCTAAATCGAAACAAACCATTATACACGGTTTGTTTGGGGGGGGAGAGAGAGAGACAAGTCCTCATTCCCATTTAGTGTTTGATGTTAATTTAAGAAATTTTGAGGGCACTTATGACCATAACTTTGAAGTACTTTCTCAAAACAAAATATGTGGAATGTGTTCCAAAAGTAGTTGATCCCAATACCCTAAAAGAATTAAAAGAAAGAAATATTACCTTGTCTGATTTGCAAGCTAAGGAATATGACATTGAATTGCTTTTAGGAGCAGATGCCATCGGGGACATTATTACTGGCAGCTCTCTGAAACTGAACTCTGGTGTAACTGTAGTTGAGACTAAATTACACACTGTGATTGGTAAAGTAAACAGCTTACCTAAAGAACCTACTTCAGCTACTATTCCAGCATTACTACAAAATAATTTGTGCAATAATGTAGTTTCGTTGCATTGTGTTAATCTTAGCGTAACTGAACTCTGGAATTTAGATGCCATTGGCATAACAGATCCAGCTGAAGATGTTAAACGTCAACTTGCTCACTCTGACACCGTTAAGCAATTTAAAGAGAATTTAAATGTTCTTCCTGATGGCCGATATGAATTGCCACTACCCTTTAAATCTGAAATTCTGTTACCTAACAATAAGTCTATGACTTTTAAAAGGCATCAAAGAATGTGCCAACGAATTAATGAGGAAAATCAGTTAGATGAATATAAGGGAGTTTTTAAGCAATGGGAAGACCTAAAAATAATAAAAAAGGTTCCTGAAACTGAAATTAATAATTGAGTTATTATTTGCCCCACAGACCTGTTATAAAGCATACTAGCCAGACAATGAAGGTAAGGCCGGTGTTCGACGCTTCAGCCCGAGAGAGAAATCAACCGTCCCTAAATGATTGTTTAAATAGAGGGCCGAACTTAATTGAACTAATACCTGATATAATTGACAGGTTTAGATTGTATTTGTTGGTTTATCATTGTCCATAGAAAAAGCATTTCTTCAGCTGAGTATTATCCCAGAACACAGAGATTATTTGAGGTTTTTTTCTTCCAACTCTTGAAGAACCCATGATTTACAGACACTGCAGAGTGGTGTTCGGCATTTGTTCGTCTCCTTTTCAACTCTCTGCATCGATAGAGCATCTCTTGGATAATTCCCCTGCTGAGTTTGACGATGTGACCCAAAAATTAAAGCATTCTTTTTATGTTGACAATTGTGTCACTGGGGTTCCCGACATCAAACAGCAAGAAAATTTTATAGCTAAGGCGACAGAAGTAATGGCTCGGAATGTTTTAACCTACGGGGTTGGGAAAGTAATGTTCCAGGTCATTGTATTTCCCGTAGTTCAGGTATAACTTCTCTTCTTGGAATCTTATGGGATTTGGATAAAGATACATTGAAATGTAATCTTAATTATTCAATGGATAATGAGATAAGTAAACGTAATATTTTGGCTATGGTAATTAAAATTTTTGATCCGCAGGGTTTTTGAGTCCAACTACCTAGTTACCTAAGTTGCTATTACAAGAAGCTTAGACTATGAAATTAAAATGGGATAATCCCTTTCCAGAAAACATTCAGAAAACTTTCATAAGTGGCAGGACGAAATTAAATATCTTGAGAAAATTAGTATTCCACGATATGTAGAGATAAATCAGAGCTGCATCTATTCGTTGATGCATGTAAGAGCTCCTATGGTGCATGTGTTTACACGCCTTAGAACTGAACTCAATCTCAATATCGAGAACTCAAATCGAGGACTCCGTGGGAGTCAAAATTCGATTGATCAGAGCCAAATCCAGGGTAGCGCCGCCGTTAAAATCTCTGACAATACCTCGGCTAGAATTGATGGCCTGTTGCATTGGCGTGAGACTGGTTCACTCAGTATACGCCGCCTTAGACTTGCCTGATTTGAAAATTATTGCATGGAGTGATTCTATGGTAGCACTCTGGTGGATTAAGAACCGTGGTGATTGATCAGTTTTCGTTGCGAATAGGGTAAAAGAGATAAACAGTCTGATTCCTTCTCAGTGTTGGCGCCATGTTCCAGGTGATTTAAACCCAGCAGATATGTTTTCAAGAGGCTGGTGGGAGAGGTTAGTTCGTGTAGTAAAGGAACTGTTGAGAAGGACTTTTGGTAACGCGGTTATTACAACCGAGGAGTTGTACACAGTATTGTGCGACTGGGAGTCAATAATTAACTCTAGACCTCTTACGTATCTGTCCGAAAATTCGGATGATTTAATCCCACTTTCCCCAGCGATGTTTCTCAGCGAGTTTAGGTGTTCCCGTAGCTTAGGTATCGTAGCTTAGGCTAATCGTAGCTTAGGTGTTCCCAATGTTGATTTCTGCGATTCGAAAGGTCTTCGAAAAAGGGCTAGACATCGCCAAAAACTACTTAATGATTTAAGGCATAGATTTAGAAAAGAATATTTAGGCCTTCTGGTTCAAAATAAGAAGGATCCATCGTCAGAGCTACGGTTGGGTGAAATTGTCCTAATAGGAGATGACATCAAAAAACGGATGTATTGGCCTTTAGCTAAGGTCATTCGACTAATTCCTGGGAAAGATGGCAAGGTGAGAACTGTAGAACTAAAGACTCAAGCTGGTACGCTGCTTCGTCCCATTCAGCGAGTCTTTCCATTGGAAGTGCAGTTAACGGACACACCCACTGATCCCATACACGATAACTCTTTTACTAATCCTATTTCTTCTATTTCTAGTGATGAGCATTCAGATTCTAATGATTCTTCAAATGACTCTAGTAACATCCTGCAAGGTGCTAAAGTGTCAAGATTTGGACGTGTGATCAAGGTGCCTCAGAAATTGGATCTCTTCGACCAGGTACTGTATGTCTTTGAGCCAACCTGAAGTCGACTCAAAGAGGGGGAGAATGTTGGAGACGGCTGCAGACAGACGATTACATAACGGCTCAGAGAAGGTCAACAGAAGGAGCGCCGCATCTGATTGGACTATTTTTTATTATTCTTATTTTTTCTTTAACTGCGAACTAAGCGGGAAATTCCCTTTTCACCTGCACGTTGTAGCCCTGAGAGTTGCAACAAGAAAGGTGCTCATATAAATTATTGATGTGAACATAATATATCTTCCTCCATTCAAGAAAAAGAACACTTTTCATATTTACCCACTCTTATTTTGTTATATTCAAGTTCCCTGAGAGTTAGAAATTTTCAAAATTATTTTTTTTTTTTTTTTTGTCTATCTCTGTTTCCTTGCGTTACACAGGTTGCGATTTTTACTAGCAAGCAAAAAGATGTAATAGGAAAACTGCAAGACTATAAGTTTGCTGAAAAGTGTATTTCTGTTAGAAGTCCAGAATTTAACTTATTGCCATTTTTGTGTAAACGATGCATTTACAGCTTTCATTTATTTTAAAAATAAGTCGAAATATCTATCCTAGCTGGGCTTTGATTTCATATAGAACGTTAAGTGGGAATAGGTAAAAGTTTTGAAATGTTATTAATTTATACCGTTTTATGATATTTTCGTAATATTTTATATTTGCGATCTCTTGTGTTTAGAAATGTGTTTAAATTTATTATTGTAGTGAATGTTTATAGAAACACTTTGTTAAACCGGGTCTTATTATTGTTTAGTATATAGCATGCACGCAAAATACATTAAAACTAGAGTTATCACTCATTTAAGTATATATACATTTTAGCTTGCTAAATTTTATGAATTTATTTTTAAATTTTTTGAATATTTCATTAATTTTAGTCATAAAATCTTAAAATAGTCAACATGGAACCTCTATATAAAATCTAAAATCAGGCAAAAAGAGTAACTTGCCTGCAGTGCAAATGTTTGTAGAATTTGAAGAAGAGTCCATTTATTTTAGAAGCGTTAACAAATAAACCTCTGTTCCTCGTGGGGGGGGGGGAATAAAAATCTCAAAGCTTTCAGATTTTATATTACACCTAAAGGGACATTTTTTAAAAACATTTTGTGTGTTACCTTTATTTATTAAATAGCATGTTCTTCACACTAAATCATAAAATTCAATGGTTGATCTTTGAATTATGGTAACTTGGCGATTTTTTGGCGATCAACTCTGCTACAGCAACCCATGTTTCTTTTCTTTTTATTTACTGAACACTTTTCCAACAATCTACTAGCCAAATTACACTTATACTAGAAATTTTATCTAACAAAAACTGCTTAATCATGACAAATATTCACTGCAAAATTGGGAAAAAGTGTACAATCGCAAACTCCTTGCGCGTTTTTCACAATGACACTTACACATAAACCATGTACACGTCGACTTATTTTACTTAAAAAAACATCCCAGAATTGCACAAAAATGGCATTGCGCACACTCTTCACTATATCCATGTACACTGCTTTTTTCTCATAAATTAGAAAAAATTTCACGAAAATGCATGACAATTTTCTGAATCTTTAAACCCGGTAAAAAGAACATATATGAAATTACCTGATCGCGAAAAAAGTATATACCCTTTCCAAATATGAACATTTCCACGTGTAAAATAAATAAATATCCAAAAACTTTTACCTCTAAATTATCTATTATATTATAAACCGTCACCAACGAATTCATACCACAAACATTACAAATGGTTACAAATACTTAGTGTCAAATATTTAAATTATTTCCATGCACGTTTAGTTCCACTCAAACGTATACCAAATTCCTACAAAACATATAATTCACAAAATAACTATCATTTAATTAAAATATAATTAAATTCAAAAACACTACTTAAAAATACAAATAAGCACATACATTAAATTAATAAAATTAGCTTACAATCCTAATTACTTTAAACTAAATCATTGCTAATAACAATTTTCCAATAACACCATATTACTTTATTTACTCCTTACATTTAGAACAATGCATAAAAATAATATCCTCAAATAATTAAAAATACTTTGTTGAAATTTGTGAAAACAAAATGGCATCCAAAAAAAAAAAAAAAAAAAGACTAGCAGGTTGCTGTAGCAAGGTTGGTCGCCAAATTTTCGCCCAAAAATCACCAAGTTACCATAATCCTTAATTAACTGTTTTTTGTTCTTCAGAAGCAAACAGTTTTTCAAAATTTTCCGCTCCGGAAGAAAACGAACGATCTATATGCAATCGAAATCAATAGATTTTTATTCAAAGTTTATGCTGTTTAAAAGAATGGCGTGGGTATTGCTTTGAAAGGGTTAATGCCTGATTGTAAAAGCTATAATAGTATTGTAATTTTTTTAAGAACTGGTAATTTAATGTTTATGAATATTTATAACATGTTGATATTTTTGTTAGATGATTATAAATGACAAAAATAATTTCTAGGAAGCCATTTATATTCATCTCGCAGATTCATTTGCATATGATCAATATTTTGGCAAATTTGTAGCTCCTAAACATTAACAGAAAAACTGTATCACATGTTCTTTGTATACTTCATGAATCATTGATTATTCATATCATTGGTGTGGGCTTTTTTTTTTTTTTTTCTAAAACAGACTTAATGAAATGTGCCCAGCATGGTTCCTAGACAAAAGCCCACTGGACGAAAGCGCACGCGACAAAAGCCCACAAAAAAAAGCCTACTATGATAATTGCCCACGCGACAGATACCCGCAGCGATGAAATCGCACATTGATAAAAGCCCACATCAATGAAAGCCCACATAGATATAAAGCACACGCTGATAAAAGCCCATACGGATAAAAGCGCACATAATCAAAAGGGGCTTAAGGTTTTTTTAATACTAAAAAGTGTATTTATAATTTTAATTATAATAAATGTAGTATTCAGATCTGAATTTTATTGTCTCAAATATATGTCTGTATACACTGGTGTGCAAGAATTAAGGACGAAGTCGAAAAATTAGCATATCAGCTGAACGAAGAGGCAGAGCGGACAGAAAGACCAATCAGGAGATTAAGATTAAGTAAGGTGATGTACGGTAGCACATGCACAGATATGCAGGTAGACGTAATGGGGAGAGTGTCTGAGTAGTATAAAGTATGTTGTCGGTGTAAGATCAGTATTTCTGGCAAAGAGATTGCACGCCGTATAGCAGTTAGATGACCGGTATATTGCCTTACAGGCCAGAAGAAACAGGTGGCAGACAGCGGGAGAAATCGCACGACACAGGCGACTGGACGACCGATATCGCGTTTTACCGTGGCCAGAAGACTGCAAGGTGGTGGTCTGTTTGCACGACGCCCTGTACGGTGTGTACCTCTAACGCCTGCCCATCGGAGAAGGCGTTCTCTGTGGTGCCGGGAACACCGGAATGAAGAGGAGAGAGACAATGAATGGGGACGAGTACTCTTTACAGATGAGAGCAGATTCAGTCTGATTAGCGATTCTCATCGCATACTCATCTGGAGAGAGCGGGGAAGCCGCAATCATCCCTCGAACATCATTGAAAGGGACAGGTATGGAGGTGGCGGTGTTCTCGTTTGGGAAGGCATCATGCTTGGTAGTCGTACAGACCTTCACATCTTCGACGCAGGTTCAGTCAAAGGGACCCGTTATTGTAACGAGATTCTTCTTCCATATGTGCGTCATTTTAGAGGCGCTATGGGTCCGCAGTTCCTTTTCATGGACAACAATGCACCATGTCATCGCACAGTAGCTGCCGAACAGCTCTTAGAGAGTGAGGATATTGAACGTATGGATTGGCCGGCACGATCTCCGGATCTCAATCCCATCGAGCATGTGTGGGATTTTCTAGGCAGACGCTTGGCAGCTCGTACCTTACCACCAGTAACGATTCCGGAGCTACGATTGGCGCTGCAGGACGAATGGGCAGCAATGCCTCAAACAACTCATTGATACCCTCATTCTCAGCATGGGCAGACGCTGTGAAACCTGCCTAGCAGTCAGGGGAGATCATATCCCCTATTAAAGACCGGATGTTTCTTGCTGGACACGCATCACAGGGATGTTTCGGCCTTCAGTCGCATTGCGCTCCATGCTACTTTTTCAATAAAACTTCTTTTTATCCCTCTGATTTCTCTTTTAGTAAGTGTTGCTTACATTATTCATGTCCTTACGTATTGGGGATCTTACGGTATTAAATGTGTTGATTTGGAAAGCTTTTGTACAAAGTTATATTGAAAAATCCGTCTCGTCCTTAATTTTTGCACACCAGTGTATTTTATCACTACTTTATTTGTTTAGGAAGTACTCTGATATGCGCCCTCAAGTCGCCAAATTTCTCGTCAAATATTTTTGGCGAGAAACTTTACGCTGCCATATTACTATCTAAATTTTTTGTCTACATTTTGAACTTTTAGCCTAAAATGTCTCCAAAAACGCGATTTTCGCACATGCAAAAACTACGTTTTGAACACACAATTTAGCAAAAAATCCGAAACAAAAACAAAAAATTTAGATAGCAAAAACGTAAAGTTTCTAACCAAAAATATTTGACAAGAATCCATGTACACAGCGACATGTTTTAACTTAAAAAAACATCTACGAATTGCACAATGTAGGCAACGAACGAATCTACAAACTACGCACACCTCGCTTTAATAAATTAACATAACAACAATAAATTTCAAAGATACCATGTACACAGCATCCTGTTTAAACTTAAAAAAAATTCTACGAATTGCAATTGCACAATTTAGGCAAGGAAGGAATCTACGATCTACGCAACTCCTCGCTTTAATAAAAAATAACATAACAACAATAAATTTCAAATAATACCATGTACACAACGTTCTGTTTCAACTTTAAAAAAAAACATCTACGAATTGTACAGTCTAGACACTAAAACAACAACAAATAAACTAAAATAAATTTCAAACAATTTAAAAAAACAACAATAACGACAGAAATTCATACTAAAGAACCAATGAACATAACATTCTACAAAATAAGAACAAGGATAAAATAAAATGCACTTACCATGAATTAATGTGTTTTCGAATAGCAGAAATATAAATTTCATACCGCCTTTAACATGGTGCCACGTAATCACTATCGTATTTACATGACAGCCAGACACACTATCCAAAAAATTTATACTATGGTTCACAAATCCCTACTTCTATCATGCACTGCCATTAAAAATAATTTCCCAGACCCTCTTTCCACACTTCCAAATACCCACTACCCCTCAACAGGATAGCCACAATCATATTTCCTTTTGCCGAACTTCAATTCAACAACTACCATTTTATCTTTCCCTCCCATCTTCTCAGACACAGAGGCGAACCAACGAGCTCCAGCGAAAGATTTTTCAACGTCAACAGGGTTGCCATAGAACACGCAAGTCTTGCGCCAAAAACCAGCGCAGAACACATATCGCCACATATGGTGAAATTAGGGCGTATATTAGAGTTGTACCTTTGTTTAATTTATTAAGTTGAAAGCAAACTTTCTGCACTCTGATTAAGTGATTAGCTATAACGTTTCGATGATAAATCTGAAATTGCATTTTATTATTTATTTACTTATTA